CCAAACAACATGAATCAAACATGCACTTTATTTATTTCCACTAAATAACAAAAGTACATCAAATCGGATTGAAGCTAAGGGCATACAAAACTGTCTAACACCTTGAACATTGATGGTTAGGCATTTAAGAATGGCTAATATTCTCAATGTTTCTCCCATTGATGATTCTTGATCATATGTTTAATTTTGATACCAATCTAAAATAAAAATTATCAATCTTTATTCATCAAAAAAAAATTTTTGATATCAATCTTGATGGCAATACTGTATATGGCTAACCATTTAAGTATCTTCTGGATCATTTTGGTATTGCCTGGTCGTCTTTGGTTTGGGTATGCTTCATTATTTTCAGTTTCTTGCATTTGGTTCAATAGAGCAATTGATATATGCTGTCTAATTGGTGTTTATAAAATTGTTCCTCAGGGTATTGAAATGCTTTCTCTTGGATCATTTAAAACTGGTGCCATTCTCTTGGTAAGAACCTGGGTATTCGGTTACATGTTCATCGAGTCATTTGTCTGCTTTTAAGAACTGGAAACACACACACACAGATATATATATATATATATATATATATATATATATATATATATATATTACTTATTTGCAGTGATTGAATGTGATACTCTCTCTTAACCAGCCATGCACAATATGTTGAATATGTTTCATCATCTCGTTTGTCACCATTCTTCATATATCTTAATATTGTCTTGGTTATGTAAGTTATTGAGATTTGAGAATGCTTTTTTGGAGAGCTTATCAGGTTGTAGTTATTGGCCCATTTGGTTTTAATATATACCCTGTTTTAATCTTCAATTAACAACAGCCTGGCCTTCGTAACCTTTTTGTGCTATATATAATAATATGTTATATGGAAAAAATTGGTACAATAAATTCTAAGGAAGATTTTCAAAATTACTGAAATTTGGAAGCTAGAATGAAGATTTTGTCACTATTTGGTTGAGAAATCTTTAACAATATTCACAGAATTATTGATTAAATGATATGATCTATGTAATTGAGTTAATGCTATCAGGATGTTCATGAGAGAATCACACTGCATTTGGGTGTTTATTATTGGGGTTTCTGGGTCTGCTGGTTGGTGTAGTTAAGAGCCATATGGGAGACTAGTTATGCACATTCTATCTCGATTTTGTTATGTGACTGTGCAGAACTACTATCACTGTTGAGGGTTTATGCTTGACCTTTTTTGAGCTGTTCCCCAATGTTGGTTGTTTCTATCTGTTTCAATTCCTTTGTTTTCTCTATAATGGTAGGTTCTTTTCTTCATTTTCTGGTTAAATTGTTGACTGAATTTCTTATTTGAAGGGTATTGCTTTATCTTAGTTGTCCATGAAGTTACCATTATTGTTTAGTCAATGAGATAGTTTTCCACTTCCTTTTCCTTTTTTGCTCTTATGCATGCATTTCCATGTTTTCTCTTAAAGATAATTCGTTATAATTGTATTTGCCATTTATTTCTGCAATTACAGGCTGGACTCTTTGTATATGATATCTTTTGGGTCTTCTTTACTCCTGTGATGGTTAGTGTGGCAAAATCTTTTGATGCCCCAATAAAGGTCAGTTCTTCTAAGTACTTGAAACCATCACTTCCAAACCTGTAAATGCTGTTGAATATTTAATTTATTTTATCTATAATAAAAAAATGAAAGTGCTATTGGATTGCTTTATCTAATTGCATGTTCCTGTTCCTTCTCTATAGCTTTTGTTCCCAACAGCAGATTCTGCACGTCCGTATTCCATGCTTGGACTTGGTGACATTGTAATCCCTGGTAAGTCATTCAAGTCTTATGTTTGCTGCCAATGCATTTGAATCATGCTTTTCAGAACAATTTGAAATGTTCTTTCCTCAGAGGTCTGCTACCACAGATGTTTGGGCTAAATTTAGCTAAACCCCATGTAGATGAAGGACAATCTAGTATTTTTTTGATGATTGTAAAGGGCAATCTAGTTGGTAATTGTAAAATCTCGGTCTGGCAAGAGTGAGCACATGGTTTGAGCCTGAGTGTGGCTACTTTGTGTGAAAAAAATGCCAAAGGTTAGACCTTGCCCAGTTTACTCCCAAGACCCTAGATAGCTGGGACCAATATTGGGTAATGGCCTTTTTTAAAGGACAATCTAGTTGCATGCTTCTACAGTGTAGAAGCATTTTCAATTTAGTAAGACCAGTCTTTTTTTCCTGTTGGTGCTAGGGTGCAGATTGGTACCTAATTTGAAGAATTTCCACTGCATCTACCTGGGCCCTTATAGTCCATCTGTCCATGCCCCTTCAAATTTTATGAAATGCTCAACCCATGCCAGCCCAAGTTGCACTCCTAGTATCATAATTGCTACTCGGTTTGGACAGCAGAAAGATACTCTTACTGCTCCATGCCTTGTCACCTGGATGTTGCAATGCTGTTGTGGTCCAAGTGGTTAGCCTTCCTCGAACAGAAAAAAATCATTTTGACATTTGAAAGAGCCCATGCATTAGGAAATTAGGAATGTACTTAGATTGCGGTAGGATTTGGATTGATGAGCACCCCTCACACCATGCATTTTTGAATATGGGTGAGCTTATTTTAAAATTCACACGTGGTACCAATTACCAAAGTATGGACCACTCTTGGATAATTCCCTTGGTACATTTTCTTTTTCTTTATTTTGTTGGACCACCGTTTTTGGACAGCGATGGGTTACTAGTACATTTTTTTATTGTACTAACAGGGGGACATCCCCTGTTAGTACAGGAATTTATATGGCCAATGAAACAAAGATAACCATGTGATTTATATACATGTATTTGGTCCTTTATAAGACAAATAAAAAATGATGTCTTTCCAATGATGCCTGGTTTTTCTAAATCTGCATATATGGTTCTTATTGGATACATGTGCCTGGATCCCTCACCATGTTTGGATGGCTGTTTTGTCCTTTCTATACTCTTTATCCTTTTTCTGATAAATTCTTTTGGTGGTAACAAATAACAAGACAAATACCTACATATTGTATTTTGTCTCTTAATGCATTTTAACTTTATATAATTATATAATTTATTATTTATATATGGGAATAGCTTCTCTAGTTAGTTGCTTAGAGGACTTTAAATGATCCAGGAATCTTCCTAATAGCAACTTGCGTTAGGGCTCAAAATGAGTCCTTGTTTTTTCCTCTACCTCCTTTATTTCTTTTTAAATAGAAGAATTGTGTGAATGAATAAATTAATCAAGTAAACTGCCAATGCAAGATTATGCATAGAGCTGATATGGACCAAGGGAGTGGACATGTGGCTAATCTAAATTAAGGGACCTGCAATCTGATGGACTAATCATTGGAGCCAATGATTAGTCCATGTTAAAAATAAGTGACGTTGGGTAAGAAATCTTCCTACTTGTGACCTGATTAGGAAACCTTTTGTCCTATATGCATCGTGATGGTTACACTTATTTTTGTCCTTTTAGTTTAGTAGTACTGTTGTCCTTATTGTTTATAGATTTATTCTATGTTTATCATTACTAAAAAGTAATACAAATAGATGGGTAATCAGCCATACTAAATGCAAAGTTTTATAACTTTGTGGTCATTCATAACCTTAATTGGAATTACCAAAAAAAAAGTATAACCTTAATTGGTTCAGGCATGTTATTTTTGAACTTAATATTGCCCTTCACTATTTAAAATTCTAAAATGCTGAGTCTACACCTTAGTCGTGTTTAGTTGATTCTAATGTGCTTTTAGTGATTAGATTTTGGTTTCATATTCAGTAAGATGAAAAGAGGAAAACTTTGTTAACATTTACTCTTGTTTTTCACCTTCCTAAAGGTATATTTGTTGCACTGGCATTGCGTTTTGATGTATCTAGAGGGAAAGAGAACCGTTATTTCAGGAGTGCATTTTTTGGATACACAGTTGGTCTAATTCTAACAATTATTGTGATGAACTGGTTTCAAGCTGCACAGGTAACTTGTATAGATCCGTTTTCTTCATTTTTCTGTTATATTTTTGAATTATTTTAGCTTTTGAATTCCATATTCAATTTATCCTTAATCAAAGGACATGGCCTAATACATTCTTAAATATTCTGTATCAAATGATGAGCATCCTTTTGTACCCATAGAAGGGACTGGGGGTGGGATGAACTTTTATTCTGCCCTGTCTATTATCTTACAGTTTTTCTCTTTGTGCTTTCAGCCTGCGCTTCTGTATATTGTACCAGCTGTTATTGGATTTGTGGCTATTCATTGCATTTGGAATGGGGAAGTCAAGCCGGTTTGTTCTACACCTATTTGTTTTTCATCTGTTAATCTTTTTATTCTTTTTACTCTATTTACCTTGACTTACTTATCTGCAACATTTCTATCCATGCACTAAGATGTGATAATAGTATTTACAAGCCATAGCATACCAGCTTACAATTGTTTATGTCCTTAGGCCTTAAGCCATGCCCATGAAATATCAATAAGGTGTTGGATGATAATGGTGGATCATTCTTTACAAGTACCTTAGAAGTTTCTTTCTCTTTGTTTCTTTCTTTTCTGTTACCATTGATTTGGTTGCCCTGGGTTGATACTTGCTTTGTGGAAAACTACATCTACATGTCTGTTATACTGATGCTGCTTTTGGGCCAGTTTGTGGCTATACTGGCTCAATTTCTTTGTTCAAAGTTAAGCTCTGGGCCTCTGGCTGCATTGAATCGATTCATCCTATCTTTGTTGTGATGTCCTCCAGCTGAATTTCTACTCTGGGTGGGCAAGTGGGTAACTGGTTAGTGGTTAGGATGTTATGATTGATAAGTATGAACAGTAGACATTGACATTTTGGGAAACACAGAGCTAACTACATGATGAAGATCAGAGCTAACTACATGAAGATCAATCCCATGGAGCCTTATCTGAACTATTTGGTCTTGGGTATAGGGTTACTGTTTTACCAGATTTTATTGTCAGAACTTTTCAAAACTAATCCTCTGAGTTTTTATTGTCAGAATATCAGTTTTTGTTACTGATACAATTTATTTCCTAAAAAGGTCTGGTTGTCCTAATTATCGGTCTTGGGAGGAGTGGACTTAATACAGACTTAACCACCACTATATTTTGCACGAAATAGCAACTCAGACTAGAATCTGTGTTTACATGCTTGTCAACTAGAGATTTTAACCATCACACCAAGCAATGTTCCGCTCAAAACCAATACTTCTGGAATTTTGTCAAAAAAGACAAGCGAATGAGGGTTTACTTCCAGGCTTCTGCCCAAAAGATGTAAAGTGATTTCTTGATGTTGTACAAGTTAGATTGCTTTATACTGAGGAAAATATTCTTGTTTTAATCCAGTTTTATTTGGTTTCAGCTACATTATTGGAAACATTTGAACTCATAAAAAAAATAAATAATTAAGTCGGAAAGATTAGCCTCTGACAAATAACAAGTGGCAATGCATATTGGAATGTTCTTGATGTGGCAGTTTTTAGGATTTATTGCTTATTGAGTTTTAATACTGAGTTTATTTTCTGATGTTGTATAGTTGTTGGAGTTTGACGAATCTAAGACTGAGGCTGCTTCAACACAAGAAGAGGATCGTACAAGCAGCGGTGATGAAAAACCGAGCAAAAAAGTAGAGTAGGGTCAAGCGGCTGAGGTTGGAGTTTTTTTCCCCGATTGGGTAAGGAATGCGATAGTTTACATTGAGTAAGTAGGGTCAAGCGCCTTCAATCCTAAACCACAAACAAACTCATGAGACGGGGATAGAATGACAGTGTAACAGATTTTGATTTTAATGAATGAATCATATATAATTGTTAACTAATGGATTGCTTTAATTATACATTCTCTGTGTGTGCTCGTTATTCTGATTCTTTTTTTGTTTTTTTGTTGAATTTACATGTTTCTATGACATTTCATAACTTCATAACCTGACAAGAACCCAGTGGCTTTGCATTTTTTTGGTGGGGGATTGGGAGTAGATTCTTATTCATCCTTTTTTTTTTCTTCTTTCATTTTTCTTTCCTTCTGTTGCAGTTCTTTTGTTAACGGAGGATGTAATTTTGGGGGGGGGGGTCTCCAATACGTTTTTTTTTTTTTTTTTAAATTTTTAATGCCACATCAGCGAAAAAGTCTTCTTGGATGTGTATTTTCTCAAAACAAGGTGAACTTCAATGTAATTCAAAATGTAGTTTTTCCCTAGACCAGTGCAAAGATGCTTGCAAGAGCAGAAAAACACGTGCTTCCAATTCCATTAAGTTGATGTGAGATACTATTTGGGTCGGATTGACCAAGGCATCAACCCTAGCCCAACCCGAAATTAAATTGGCTTTATATTTTTCGATCATAAATATCTATCCAAATCTTGGTTCTGGCCGCAAGGGGTGGAATTCTGATCTGTTGTAAGCATTTTCTGTTAATATCGCAGCTTCTCAAATTATCTATTGACACCATTAAACTCTAGCCTATGTGAAGGTTAAGCAGAGGGTATAGAGCTTGCCCTTGTCCATTGACTGTAATCATCAGGCGGGTTCCTTTGGAGCTTTTCATTCTTATTTACTCGGATGTTTTAAAATGTAGAGATTTGGGCTATTTGCTTTTATTAGATGGTTTTGGATCGATCTGGGTCGGTGCTTGCAACCATGGTTTTTAAAACTGACCCGGTGACTGAACCGGTCAGGGATCCGGTTACTGGGTCGTCTGACAAAAAAAAAAATTTAAAAAATTGAAAAACGGTCGAAGCCGTTCGAATGGTTAATTGGCCGGTTCAGCGGTTTGCTGACCAAAATCAATGGTTTTAGGAAAAAACGGAACCTGTCAGATGATTGGTTTTCGGTTTTTTCACTCCGACTGTTTGGTCTGGTCTGGTTCTGAAAACCATGCTTGCAACCCATGGTCGGATAGGCATATTTTTGGGTTCGTTTTACTCCCAAGGTGTTTATCTATAATTCTATATAATGCTGATATTTGCTATGTTATAAAGGTTAAATGAGTATCATATCATATAAGATCAATATTATATGATTTATATCTTTACATTTACTTGCTCATATGTAGGGGTGTCAACTGGACTGGACTTGGTCCAATCCGATTCAGTCCAATGTGAGTCCATTACAAATGGACGAGTTCCAATTCAATCCAATGAATATTTTGGACCGATCTAGTTCAATGTTTGGATCGTTCAATCTATTCAAATTCGTTTTAATTTAAATTGTTTCAACCAAACCTGGTCCATTGACACCTATATTCTTATCTTAGATCAATGGACCAGATATTGGCTTAATTTAACTGAATCCATACAGACGGACCAGGTCCAGTCCAATCTAATAAATATTTTGGATCGGATTGGTCTAGTCCAATGTCTTCTTGGTCCGTCCAATCCGTCCAAATTGATTTTGGACTGGACGGGTCCGGTCCAAAACCAGTCCATTGACACCCTTACTCATATGCATAGCAAGTGTCTTTACACTAATACTCCAAAAACCATTTACTTTCTCAATGACCTGGTGACCTAACTAGTTGAACCGTTAGATTGTTTGAACTGGTTAGTGGTCATAGGTGTTTTACCAAAAAAAAGTGGGTCATAGGTGTTTTACCAAAAAAAAGTGGGTCATAGGTTAGACATTTTAGTTGCATTTTTTTGATACTTTTAGCCATTTTCATCATTAACAAAAATCACATTATAATATGATGAATAATATTAGAGATGTGTTAAAATCTTTCGCAATTTTCTGTAATTTTTTTTATATTTTTCTGCATTTAATTATTTTTTTTATATTTTATCATGTAATTTATAATATGATGGGTTGAACTATTTGATCCAAATGGTTAAACCACTGACAAACCACCTAGGAAGGAAAGTGCATTATTGGGTCGGTTTAAAAAACATTGGTCTGGATCTTCTCTCTGCACAACATTGAACACAATAATATTTTTCTCTTATTTTTTTGGTTATTGTTTTACACTGACGGCTTTGGTTGCAGTACCAATTTCATTTGCACTGGTGTAAATACATGCATGTGGCTGCAGAAGATTTAAATTCTAATTTATTTTTTGCTTTAAATTTGACTTTGTTTTATTTGTTTTGAAAAATAAAATGAAGTTACCACTATAAATGATAGAAAATTGAGCTAGGAGGACATCGCTACCCATAGAACTACAATCTTGCATTGGGAATATCTCCCTTGTCATTCATGGAGAGATGTTTTCAATACATGCCTGTAATGTCTTGTGGGAAGAAATTTTGGGTAGGAGATCTGGAGTGGCAGGAATAAGGTAGGAGCAAGGTGGTGACACAAAATTTGCATTGCCAGTAAGTCTAAAAGAATAAAAAAAAAGACAAATTTTGTATCAGGTAAGAATGCAAACTATAATTATAAACAAGCAAAAGAAAAACTGAACCAAGTACAAATTTTGCACCCAGGCAAGATTTGTAGTGCAACCAAACACAGCCTAAGAATTTTATCATATAAATGGTTAAATACCAACTTAATTATACCCATTTATTAATTCATTTTTAAGTTTGGAATCTCTTCTATAATTCATTTCAGCACATATTTTAGCGGTTAACAAACTCTTGCTTAAATCTCGTTCCCCATTTTTTTTCAATATATTCCAACTGCAATAAAGGGCAGTAGAGCGAAGGTGAATTACCAGAAAAGTAGTATCAGTGCCAAGATCAGCACAAAATTGAAACAGTATTCGGAGCATATCTATGTATGATCTGTAGTGTGGATATCCCGTGGATCAATTGGTTTCAGTACATATCGCACCCATTAGGTATACTTTGGTCTAGCATTTTCTGAAATCGTTGGTAGACGATGATAGTTCTGTTTCAACATGCGTGGCCTATTTCTTTCCCTGATAAAATCTTGTGGTTCAATTCACACCACAAGGGCAAGTCTATGACTAAGAGTGTTCTGTAGTGGATATTCTGTAGATCAACTGGTTCCAGAATACATCACACCCATTAGGCCTGCTTTAGGTTGTGTTTGGTTTGAAAGAAAAGGTAAGGAAAGGTAGAAAAACCTATATACTGCATAAGCTTCCCTACCTTTCCCTACCTTTTCTTTCAAACCAAACACACCCTTAGGGTGGGGTGTTTTCTGAAATCATTTATAGATGATGGTTCTGCTTCAGGAAGCATCACCTATTTCTTTCTATGATAAAATCTTGTAGTTCTTCTATTCATGCCACAATAAATTGAATGATTATTGTTTTGACTGAAGTATCTTGTTTGAAATTTTGCTATCACATTCACATCACATTACACAATAACTTATAAAATGTGGTGTGGTTCAAACCATGCATGTGGTTTGAATCACACTACAGTGGGTCCAATGGATTCAAACACATCACACCTCGAACAGACGACATAACCAAACATGTGCTTAAATTCAATATGCCCAATCAGCCATACCAATATCATCATCATCAGCCTTGACCCAACTCTATATAAGGTCGGATACATGAATCCTGTTCTGCCATTCCATTCTGTTCAGTGCCATTTCCAGTCAGTTGGGCTGTCTACCATTTCCAGATCCATCATTCAATTCAATGGGTATAGTTTCTCCAGGTGGATAATCACAAATCTTCCTTGTACACACTCTCTTTCAGCCACAACTGAAGGATTACAGATAAGTTCAGTGTCCATTCCATGGGTGGTGGATAATACTTCTAGATCTACAATGGCCATATCTTCAGTGCTGTTGGTCCATTTGAGCTATTTGCATCTTTGCATCATTGGATGTTGAACGCTCTTCCCCCATTTTAGAAATTCTCATCCTCCTAGCTACTGAAGCTATACCACTAAAAACTGTCTAAAATTGGGCACTCTTAATTCCATATGGAGGGAGAAAAAAAAAATCTTTGAAGGCTACTACTGTTTGTCTTGGGTCTTAGGCCATACGGCTGTACTTTCTCTATGGAGGTCAGGGCCCACATCACATGGGTCCCAACATAAGAGACTGGCTGTATTTTTTATTTTCAGAGAAGTGCCTAGCTAGTACACATCAAATTTATGCAAATCTTTAATTTATTCCTCCACACACTTGGTGGAAGACTGGAAGCTTCCTTCTACTAAAGATTATGACCTTTAACTGTTCAATTGATTATTTATTTCTATAGTTCTGATAAAGCTTTTCATCAACTTTCGTTCTATGCTGCAAAATACACAACTGCACTCATAGTCTGAGCTGACTTTTGATCCATAATGGACCCACTTAGATATGAATCCTTTGAATATGGGATGACCTGTAAATTAGGATCCAATGGGCCAACACTGAAGATAATGTCTTCTTTCGTGACATGACATTTAACTGAATGCAATTGCTGTTCAACAGGCTGTGGAATCAATAATAATGCTCTATTGCAATGGGATCCACAATCATAGAACCCGTCACTGTGGGCCTCATGTATTTTATCACTGTCACACAGCCTGCTACACAGCTAATGCATTCAATTAATCCAAATTCCCTCATTATTCTCCTATAGTTACTTATTTTTGAATTAATTATTAAAAATATAAATAGTTAAAATAAAGACTCTCTTAGGTATTTAATTGTCTCTAATAAAGCCCATAAGATCATTCTTAAAATTCTGTAGTCAATGCTTCTAACATGCTAACATCTCCCCTAACTCATTAACTTCTTCCTTTCCTCTTAGATCTCTCAATCTTTTTTGACTCTCTTTAATAACTTAAGTATAGGTATAAATTAGATGGATTGGATCAGGTTAAGGTCTAATCGAAGACCGACTCTAAATATGGACCCCAGCCTTGAGAGGGAGAGAGGAGTCAGTCACTCAGGTATGCCACCCTGAAATTGCATGACTTTTCATTGGGCCTGGAACAGAGCTTCTGAATAAATTTGAATGCCGGCTTGGTCCAACACCACTTTCAGCCCATTGTCCAGTGTTGTGCAGTTGTGCTTAGTAAGACCAGCCCATCACCCCTTCACTCTAAATAACGGACGAGGATGGAGATGGAATTGGACTTCTGCCAGAATTTCTGAGACAGGACACATTGATCAAAAACTTTGGATTCTTCAAATTCTGCTTTTTAGGGGAATTCAAGAGGACATGATAGAAGGGGTAGTCATTTCACTTGTAGGAATCAACTTGGGACTTGGATTCAAATCCAAATCCACTCCCACGATCAAAACACGGCCTTGGTGTATATGGGATATGTGGAAACCCTTCAAAAGGACTGAACCAAACTTTTTCTTTATAAAGAATGAGACTTATCACATCAACTCTCTTTTAGGAGCACTCAGGGACTTGGATAAACAATGGCCAAGCTGACCCACAAACCCCAATACCGCAGCTTGGCACATGGAAAGGTATAGACAACTTTTACCTCAGAAAGCTCAATAATGAGGAGCTAGAGCTAGCCATGGACGACATGGGTTGTCGTTCTAAGCTCAAAGGGATTGGCCAGATACATTAGGCTCCAAATACAAGATCATGCATGCATCCAACCATCATCCATGAATGAAAACCACATTGCTGGCCACATCTCCTGAATCCTCTCTTGCCTTTGTGATGGCAATCAACTGGAAATTACAATGAATCATGGGCTGGAATCATGCGCTGTGCTGCTGCTACGCCACCACGAACAGTGCAGTGGTGAACTACACGGCCAGTCCCCATCTATTCTCCATATACACTGTTTAGTGCTTATATAGTAGGAGGACTTTTCTGTTATAATCTTCTTTCTTAAACATTGATGATTAAGAAGATATGGAGGCCCCTCTGCAACAAGACTCACCTAAAGGGGGATGGAAATCAGCGACATACATCATTGGTAAGACTCGCTTTGAAGACTACATCATCTTTCATCAATTGTAGTTACGTAACATGAAACTATAGGTTGTTGAGGTTTTGACTACTGTTTTCTTAATTCTGAATATATCCTGCAAAACAGGCATTGGAGCAGCACAGCGATTCGCTTATTATGGCCTCCTGGGGAACCTCATCACATATCTAACAGATGCCCTGCACGAGACTACTGCAACAGCAGCCAAGAACGTGAACCTTTGGTTTGGCGTAGCTACCCTCCTCCCTTTGTTTGGAGCACTCATTGCTGACTCCTACTTGGGTCGTTTTAAAACCATCTTGTTCTCGTCCTTGATCTTTCTCATGGTGGGTTAATTGATTATTGAGTTCTGGGGTTGTGGAAATATTCTAGATATATATAGTTAAGTCTGGCCTTGATCATGGATGCTTTAATCAATATAATTTAATATTGAACCACAGGGACTAGTGATGTTAACATTATCGGTGTCGACGGTGGTGCCTGAAAGCTTTCGACGAGAGCTGTTCTTTCTGTCTATCTACATGGTGGCAGTAGGGGAAGGTGGGCATAAGCCGTGCGTACAGACATTTGGAGCGGATCAGTTCAGTGAAGATAAGCCGGAGGAGAGGAAAGCCAAGAGCTCATTCTTTAATTGGTGGAACTTTGGGATGAGCTGTGGTGCCTCGGCAGCCATGCTGATAGCAATTTACGTTCAGGACAATGTGGGGTGGGGTGTTGGTTTCGGAATCCTGGTCATTGCAATGACAGTTGCGCTTGTGTTGTTTTTGTTGGGTTGGAGATCATATAGGCGACAAGCATCGGTTGGAAGCCCATTAACCCGGGTGGCTCAGGTGTTTGTGGCTGCTGCTCGTAAGTGGCACTTGCCTGACTCAAAGGGTGGTGGCTATGGAGAATGTGCTGAAGATAGGAGAGATGGTTTAGCCATGGAGGTTCAGCCCAGTAGGACCCTGGCTCCTACTGATCAGTTTAGGTAATGTTTCACCAAAGTTTCATCGATCCTATATATATATATATATCATTAATTTAATGCTTACTATATATGGAAAACTGAAGAAGTACAGCCTTTGATTATAATTAATTAGGCTGAAACGTACTCAAAATTAAAATGTTATAAACTATATCATCTTTAATTTAGTCTATCTATTAAGATTAAAGGGGCTGTTTGATAACAGCTGGAGTGGCTGAACTGAATGACTTAGTGCTTTGTCTTTTAGTGATGAATAAATGGTTTCTAGCTTAATGGCTGAACAGCATGTTTAATTGGTTAATTAATTACTATACCCGGCCCCAAAATATTTTATTAACTATATGACAATAAACAGCAATAAGTCATTCAGTTTTAGCCTTCTCTACAAGTTCAGCTTTAGGGACTGCTTTGGATTGTCACCCAGTCAAACATATAATGGGGCCTCAAAAATCAAAATCATCTATGGGTCCTGTGCCCCGAGACAGATACTGTAAGGACGTACCCTTAGCCATTAAACTAACTAAATATCATAATATAGACGATGAAACGGATCAAATCCAGACTCCGTTCATGTTGATTGGCACTTAATTGGGTTCAATTGGGATCCATGCTTGGAAGACCATGAATCAAACATTAGCTGCAGTTTCACAAATCATGTTGTAAATGACAGTTGAATTAAGCAGGGCCAAATCCGAGTCCTTACTAATCATATAATCAGACTAAGATCTGTCACAAACACATCTAGCAGGTAGGAAGTTGTCAATTCAAACCCAATCATATGCATATGTCTAGCCTTCCCATTCCCATCAACTTACAAATTAACAAGAAACAAAGCTACAGGTTTCTGGACAAAGCGACGATCATAGACGATGTTGATATGTCAAGCACCAGCAGAAACAAGTGGAGGCTCTGCACTGTGACTCAAGTTGAAGAAGTGAAGCTTCTCCTCCGCTTGGTTCCGATCTGGTTCAGTTGCCTGATGTACACGGTGGTGTTTGCGCAGCTCAGCACCTTCTACACAAAGCAAGGTAGCACAATGGACAGAAGGATCGGATCCAACTTCCATGTACCAGCTGCATCTCTTCAGATGTCTACTACCCTAGTAGTAATCTTCTCTGTGACCATATACGATCGAGTTCTTGTTCCATTGGCGAGAAGCTTCACTGGAATCCCATCTGGTATAACAATGCTACAAAGGATCGGAGTCGGCTTGTCCATTTCGATAATCACCATGGTCGAAGCAGCTCTAGTAGAGGGCCAAAGGAATCGGATTGCAAAACAGCATGGTCTCGTTGAACAAACAAATGCAACTGTGCCCATGAGTGTGTGGTGGTTGCTTCCACAGTACATGAGCTCAGGAGTCTGTGATGTGTTTGCAGCGATTGGGTTGCAGGAGCTGTTCTACGATCAGATGCCAGATGGGATGCGTAGTATTGGGTCTGCGGCCTTCCTTAGTGTGTATGGGGTCGGGAGCTTGCTCAGCAGCGTCATTATATCTGTTGTGCAGTCGATTAGCTCAAGGTTTGGTGATGAATGGTTGGGTGACAACCTCAACCTAGCTCACCTTGAGTACTACTACTGGGTGCTAGCAGGGCTGAGTAGCCTATGGCTTGCTATGTATATAGGCTTGGCTAAGTCATTTGTTTACAAGAAGGTTGGTGGTGGTGTTGCTGCTTGACCATTCAAATCCATCCAGATGAGAAGTAGCTCTAGAGTTGGTAACAAATTAATGGTTCAAGGATAGAAATTAGTACATGATGAGTGCTTGTTGTGGTGGTCATGGCTATATGGATGTCTTAATAAATGGGTAGGTTCTACCTGGAACCGACCTCAAACTGGCCTTGAATCAATTTTAGGGTCTGGTTTCAAATTCTTAAAAGTTAGAACCAACCCCCACCTAAATGGGTTCTAGGTATAGGGATTTACCCTACCTCAACCAATCTTGGTGGAACGTAACTGAACTTAAAACCGAACTTGACTTGAAATAAATCTCAAAAATATTTTGAAGATGCCAAGGTTTAAATGTGTATAATAAGCAATATAGAAGGTAATATTTACAAAATTTAAATTATAAAGATAAGTTTTGAATTATATATTAATATATTATGATCTACATCTTAAATTACCCAATCTAATCAATTTGATCAATGAGGCAATACAAGTTTTAACTATATTATAGTTTTTAAAGAACATGGTCCATTTTCTTTGGGGGATAAAGAAAGGACAAACTCCATAGGTAGACCTTGGAACAGGCCAGAACCGACCCTAGAACCCTTCTTCGTAGGATAGGTTTTCGTTCCAAAAACCTAAAAGTCTGGAACTGACCCCTACGGGATAGGTCCAAAGTGTTCATTTGGAAGGTCCACATTAACCCTAACCCCTTCCTTTTATTGCATATTTTTCCATAGTGATAGTAGCCGTTCAAAGGTTCAATAGTGAAATCCAAAGAATAGCCTAATTATCTTGAAGATTGGATATGATCTAGTAGGCACACCCTTGTGAGCAAACTGACTAAGCACTTAATATTTTGACATTATAGGAATTAGGACAATCCATTTCTATGTGGTTTTACTGTAGTCCACTTTGGGTTTGCTGCTAACACATACATGCAAAAAACGAGCTACGTACCAATCATGAGTATAGAGCACTGACGTGTTTCCTCATGATTGGTTACGTAGCTAATTTTACATGCATGTGTTTGTAGCAGATCCTACCTGGATTATCTAATCCTGGGCTAAAACTGTGAAACAATGGCTAGCTATACTGTGGCCCCCATTGTATTTCATGGTTTAATTTAGTACTAAAACCATATTGTTGCAAATGTGGACTGGAATTAGGGTTCTAAGCTGAAATGTTTCTTATGGATATAAAGACAAAATTATAGACCTATCTTGGAAGAAAAAAAGAAGTTGCCACATGTGTTGGAAAATTTGTTGATTGTCCAGTTCTCAAAAATGTTACATTCCATTTTACATTCCTTTTAGGCTGTGTTTGGTTTGAAGGAAAAAGTAGGGAAAGGAAGGGAAATTTTTCCAAATCTTGTATAGATTTTCCTGCATTTCCCTTCCTTTCCCTACTCTTTCCTTCAAACCAAACATAGCGTTAGACCCTTTACTTGGCAGATTAAATGCACTTCCAGTTACAGCTTCACACGTTTGGGGTCTAATCAAAGAACACCCATGTTGCGTATAAGTCATGAATTATAGAATTACATGTTCCAACACCCTACCTAACATGATTTGACACTGTACATCTTACTATGAGACCGGAGCGTCTCATAAAAGTGGGACCCACCATGTATGAGATGTTCTAGATCTCCTATTAACAAAGTACATTCTAACCCTCTACCAACATGATCTCACCTATCTCATACATGATGGATTACAATCTCATAGTGAGATGTGCGGTGTTAGATCATGTTGTTAGAGGGTTGGAAAATGTTTTGTTGGTAAAAGATCATGGGTACTAAAGAAGGTGGTGATTGGTCGATTCCGTACAGTACTCACACCCAAAACAACCCTAAAACTTCCTACTCGACGCGCCTGTCACAATCTTTCTTTTGTAGGATTGAAGGAGTACATCCCTTCAGAATTTCCAAACAAATAATTTGATTCGCGGGTAAGTTGAACACATCCGTTTAGAGTGATTATATGGGGAAATGAGAACACCAAATAACAATTTTCTCTTTGTTTTCTCCTCACCTTCCAAGCATTTTGTTTGCTTCTTATTTCAATAAACATTTGTTTCCTTGTAATTATGTCCATGACAATACTATTTTAGGCTTTTACATTCAAACCCTTCCATTCCACACTAGGTGAAAAAACCCCAAAAGATCCATATTCTTGAGGTTTAATTGGCAAAACATTTTTCAAATTAGGTCCAAGTATAAGTTTGTCTTACACCGCTAGGCACAGGTCCCAAGTCCGAATAAAGGTCGAGGATTGCGTCAAGTTGGTAGTTGGTACTAAAACTTTTATCAAACCTTATGAAAAAACTGCAAAAGATCAAAACCAATAATTCCTGTTTCCCATCAACTCATCAGGTATCTCGCACTTAGGATGTACATCATATCAGTTTATCTTAGTTGTGATTATCTGTAAACTCTCTCTTATCTGTACATTCCCACACCATGTAGAACTCTGCCATGCATGTAACTGTTCTCAATATAAATATAATACGGTTGGTGCTTAAGATAACCACCGAACAATATTCTTCAATTCATTCTCTTGTTCTTCTTGTTCTTGGCATATCTCTGATTTGGAATCAGAGCCATGGCTCTCAACGGCATCAGCTCTGTAAGAAACTCGAACACGAGTGGACCAAACCCTCTAGTGAGCTCTGTTTTGGGATCGGTAGTCTCTAACATCCCCAACATCTCTGACTCACTCCCAATCAAACTAAACCATGAGAATTATCTTTCTTAGAAGGCACATATGATTCTTGTCCTCAGAACACACAAGTTACTGGGACTTGTGGAAGGCACAGTGCAGGCACCACCAACTGAAGTTGATGGACCAAACGAGAGAAGAGTGGTGAATCCAGACTATGAAAACTAGGTGCAACTTGATCAACTAGTACTTGAATGAATCATCTCTTCACTCACTGGAAGTGTGGTTGATGAGAATAAAATTTATCATATTTTTATCCTAAAATATTAAGTCTTTTATATTGAATTACTACTTATTTGGATTCATATTTCTTGTATTTCGGTTCAGGGCATGAAAAAAGGCATCAGGAGAAAAGCAAGGCAAATCGGATGATTTTTCATAGTTTTGACACCGTTCAGTAATCTGGGCCTAACTCTCGTATCAGAGATCCGATTGTGATGATTCAAGATTTACTTGAAAGATAAGAGAAAAAGCTACAACTTTCATGTTTTGGGCTTTCGCAGATTCGGCCTGCATCAAAGTCAAATCTGGGTCCGAAGTCGGGACAAATTCGTAGGAAGGCCCAATTCGCAGCTGAAGCCCAACTTGTAGAAAAGCCTTGCAGCAGCTCAATTCGCAGAGGAAGCCTAATACGAATGCAAGAACAAGAAACTGAGAAGAGTCCTACCAGATTTAAATTTGTGATGTAATCCTAAAAAGATAAAGAGATTGAGTTCACTAGATAAAAAGATAAGAGTAGGATTAGACTAGGACTTTCTATTTTCGAAAGATAAACTCCAAGAAGGAGTTGGAGACCACCCCTTCCCCTTTAAGCTAT